CCAGCAGCTCCCGGGAACAGCTTGGTTTGGGGTCCCTCTAGAAAGGGGGGGGACCGAAGGGGAGACCAGGAGGGGTCACCCAGAAGCAGTTGGTGAGCCCAGATGTTAGAAGATTTGGCAGCAACTGGATCTTTCTTCCCTCTGAAAATTCACCCGAGCACAGATCGAAGATGGGAAGCCATTATATGGCAGAAAGCTGTGAGAAAACTCCACCCACAAATTCCCGAGGAGAGGAGAACAAAAATACGGCCAAAAATACAATAACAAAGCAAGTCTTTGATTTATGAATAACCTTATTAAGATGTAAAAGAAACTAAAGTGAAAACATTTGACTGAAAGAAAAGAGAAGAAGCGGCGAGCCATCCTTGCCAGCCTGCTTCTTCATAGCGAACTGACTCTTAAACAGTAAGTTCATAAACAGCAGGCTGGCTCAAGCTCACAGATAGACAGTGAGACAGAAAAAAAATTGTGTTTCTGGAAAAAAAATCCCAGAGGAAATACTACTCAACAGGCTTCAAGGGACTGAAATCTTGCGAATGCTATTTAGTATGGATTTTTCTCCCTAGTTTGAGTGGGACTTTGAAAATAAAATCTTTCCTTTGGAGCAGGAGGAATAAGCTTTTGGGAATAAAAAAACAGACGATTAATCATCAGTGTGGCAACATAATCGGCTAGATTGAAGAGCTGGGGAAGCCAGGACTGGAGTCGAATGGGACTTTGATAATATAAGCGTGTCGATGAATCATCAGTGTGGCGACATAATCAGCTAGACTGAAGAGCTGGGGAAGCCAGGACTGGAGTCGAATGGGACTTTGATAATATAAGCGTGTTTCGTTTTAGAAGGAGGAATAAATCTTTGGGAGCAACGGACAGTGAATCATCAGCTCATCAGCGAGAGGAACGCAACAGAATAAATAGACTGAGGACTTAGGAAAATCAGGACTGGAGTTTTGAAGGAATAAAACGATATCTTTTGGAGAGACTGGCTCCCTGCTTTTGCTGTTTAGTCTGGATTTTCTCCAGATTATTTTAAATATCAACGGTTGGGAACTTTGCCAGGTAAAGAATGGCAGGTTACCATGCAAATGACAATAATAACAGGATTTCAGCAGGTAAACGAGCGCCTCAACCAGGTGGAAGACCTGATGAAAGGGAAACCATCAGAGGTTAAACAACAGTTAAATGAAACTGTATTAACTCCAGAATAGTTTTTATTGAGAGTGATGTCAGGTAACATAGATGAGATTAAGAGTTACCCTGTGAACGATTCAGCTATAATAGTCAGAAAAGATGATGTTAAAAATCAGATTACTGTCCTGGATTCAATTTTATCTCCGTAAAACTGGAAGAAAATAGTCACAGAAACAAGAGAAGGGTACTGAGAAGAGTGCAAAAATGATCTGAAGCTCAACATAAAAAAAAAACTAAGATCATGGTCACTGGTCCCATCACTTCCTGGCAAATAGAAGGGGAGATATGGAGGCAGTGACAGATTTTACTTTCTTGGGCTCCATGATCACTGGTGACAGCAGCCACAAAATTCAAAGACACCTGCTTCTTAGGAGGAAAGTAATGACAAACCTAGACAGCGTCTTAAAAAGCCACCCTTCTCCCCCGCCTTAATTCAAACCTTCTGTTTTGCTTGCCTCTTCTTTTTCATAGTTTTGAGTCAATCTCTTTCACTCACTCACTCACTCACTCACTCACTCACTCACTCACTCACTCACTCACTCACTCACTCACTCACTCACTCACTCACTCACTCACTCACTCACTCACTCACTCACTCACTCACTCACTCACTCACTCACTCACTCACTCACTCACTCACTCACTCACTCACTCACTCACTCACTCACTCACTCACTCACTCACTCACTCACTCACTCACTCACTCACTCACTCACTCACTCACTCACTCACTCACTCACTCCCACACACACACACACACACACACACACACACACACACACAACCCCCCTCTCTCCATCGTCTCCATCCATTTTTACATACATTTAAAAAAGCTTGATGAAGCCCTTGGTCTCTCGCACATTCCTTCCCTCATTCCCTCATTAACTTGATCCGTTCCCTCCTCCAGCTTGCTTATAGTCATCTCCGGCAGAAGCAGTCATTCAGAAGCCCCGGATTGATTGCCTGGAGCTATTCCACAGCTGTCTCCGATCTCTGAAAGAACTGAGGATTTACAAATAACCTGCTGCAACCAAGGAAGTAACAGGGAGAGGTGGCTTACAATTTGAGGTTTGGCTGCAGAGGGTTGGGGATGGGAGGGAGGGGGTAGCACTCTGCTCATTACCCCTAGGATTTTCACTTTTATACCATTTGGGGTAATTTATCTTTGTTCCCCGACCACTGGGATAGATCAAGTGTCAGGTGGATACACAATTGGCTACAGAATCGTACTCAGACAGTGATGATTAATGGGTCCTTCTCTAAGTGGGAGGAGGTAAAAGTGGGGTACCCCAAGGCTCAGTCAGGTGCTCTTCAATATTTTTATTAATGATTTGGATGAGGCTGTGCAGGGAATGCTTGTCAAATTTGCAGACAGTACAAAATTAGGCGGAATAGCCCTAGAAGACAGAAACAAAATTCAAAATGACCTTGATAGGATGGAATACTGGGCTGAAAGCAACAGAATGAAATTCACCAGGGATAAGTTCAAAGTACTGCACAGTTACAAGATGGGGGGATACCTGGCTCAGCAAAACGACGAGCGAGAAGGATGTTGGAATTGTTGCAGATCACAAGCTAAATATCAGCCAACAGTATGATGTGGCTAAAAAAATGGCAAATGCTATTTTAGACTGCATGTAGTATAGTTTCCAATTCTTGTGAGGTATTAGTCCCCCTTGGTTAGGCCTCACCTTGAGTAATGCGTCCAGTTCTGGACACCACACTTCAAGAAGGAGGCTAACAAATTGGAACAAGTTCAGAGGAGGGTGACAAGGATGATCAGGGGGCTGGAAACCAAGCCTTATGAGGAAAGGCTGAAAGAATTGGGCATGTTTATTTGTTTATTTGATTTATACCCTGCCTGTCTAGACTGAAGTCTACTCTGGGCAGCTAAAAATAAGACATAAAAGTAATATAAAATAAAAACAACAGTGACTAATTCGAAATGGCAAGGTCATTAGGTGATGACAGGAGGGAAAGCCTGCCTAAAGAGCCAGGTTTTAAGTTTGCTCTTAAGTTTAGCCTTGAGAAAAGAAGACTGAGAAATATGATAGTACTTTTCAAATATTTGAAAAGCTGTCATGCAGAGCAGGGGCAAGATCTGTTCTGTGTCATCCCAGAGTTCAGGATATGCAACAATGGACTCAAGTTACTGGAAGCCAGATTTTGGTTGAATATCAGGAAAAACTTCCTGTTAGAGCAGTACGGCAGTGGAACCAGTTACCTTGAGAGTTTGTGGTGCTCCAACACTGGAGGCATTCAAGGAAAACTTAAGATATGCACCTGGCAGATATGCTTTGATTGTATTCCTGCACTGAGTAGGGGGTTGGACTTGATGGCCTTGTAGTCCCCTTCCAACTTCACTTTTCTATGATTCTATGATTATCTGTCTTAATGCTTTGTTTGATTGGAACCCAGGGAACAGCTGTACACACCAGAACCAGTGAGGAACACATTGAGACAAAGCACCCAAA